CTCTCTCTCTCTATCTATCTATCTCTCTCTATCTCTCTCTCTCTCTCTATCTCCCTCCCTCTTTCTTTCTCTTTCTGTCTCGTCTGTTGTCTGTTCGGCGTACCATGAATCAGACTCATTATGTCTTCCAAAGTTAACGATCTCGTACGTAGTATACTGAGGTACATGTATGGTACACTCTGGCGGACAACTAAAGTAAACATTTTGTTCATTGTATGGAGGTGTGAACCACTCCTGTGGAAAGCCTAAATAAAAGATCTTAAATTGCGTTGTATATATGGAGATATATTCCATTGTGGTGAAAACCTCACTCGCATTCACAAAGACTCCTTCAGCCACCCGAATAGTACAATCAATTTACCATCTCATCCATAGCCCCCAACCCCGGATGTACAACGTTTTAGCATGTCACGCGCATAATGCAATCATTCAAATATTTCAATCGACCAAGATTTCAATTTTACCAATTGCCAAGTGTCCAATCGTGGTGGGGTTAATTGAGGAAAACAGAGTACATTCCCTGAGGATTACAATGTCGTTCTACCCAGTGAAAACGGGAGTTGAATTCAACGTTCAAATTGATAGGGTTTCATATTTTTCTTCTCTTTTAAAAAAATGACAAAGTCCAATATGTCCCTTCCAGGCGAAGACGAAAAAATCACACTAACAGTAGTAGCCAGGAACACACAGACAGCCAACCAGACATCATTTAGGAACGCCCAAAAAGGGACAGCGACCCCAGCGACCCCCTTTTCAACACACCACACACACTTCTCAACCCCCATCAGCCTGATGTACGAACAAGAACACAAACACACACACATACACACACACACACACACGATTTACCCCCGCCCAGTGGCACTTCATTATCGGTCTGTACAAGGCTTTGGGCTTTGGGACCTTTCGCATTTGTAGAACATGCTGGGAAGGAAATGCCGAATGTCTAAAGAGCTCTGTTGCTCATAGCAATGAGAGTGGGGTGGGTTTTCTTGGAAAGGGGGAGGGGGAGGGCGTGGGACGGCATGTTTCTGGTTATAAAGATATCTTTAGAGGGTTTTGTTCATTGGCCTCTTCCAACGATGTCCTTTGGGTACATTGCAAACAGAACAAAAGAAAACGACCTTCGTAAAAGGGCCTTATCCTAAGAGTGCCATTCCAGGCCGAAGCTGCCCTTTCCTCATTTATCTAACGTCGATGAGAACAGAATTCAACGTCCTCCACCCCCTCCCCACCTCTCTCTCTCTCTCTCTCTCTC